ACACCAGGAAAGACCAGACAGTAATGGGGTCTTCCCTCGTTATTTGGGTTAGCTATTAAATTTTTTCAAGCCTTCTTATGAAAGCACAGACTTTGAAAGATGGAGACAGCTACACAATTTGGCAAGAGAGGTGGAGTGACATTACAGCTCACCACAGCACCATCAGTTGATGTACTTTTCACACTAAAAAGCTTTCATTCTCATAAACACCAAATTTGGTTAACCTCTGTAACAGGTTACTATTTGTGCGAGAGTATGAACACAAGCAAAAATTACACGGGAGTCACAGCAGGCAACGCAACAGGCATTTCTCCTTATTTCAAGTGTATGCTCACAAGCATTTAGCACCTTTGAGCATGAGAAAAAAAACTGATTTACTTCCAAATGCTCCACAGTTGACAATAACTGCAGCCAGAAGCTGTATTCAGAGCACTGTGAAAAGTCCTTGACCCCAAAGTTCCTGGGCTTTTGTTTTACTTCCAATCCTTGTTAGCCTGACCAACAAGCAAGCCCCAAACATTTCAGTCTACAGGTAAGAAGTGCTTACACGCTACAAAATCAGACTATACCTCAGACCTGTTCAAAGATGTTCAGCATAATTAGTGTCAATCATCTCTTCTCCATTTTTATTTCATAAATAAGGACTTTCCAGTAAGCTGCAGAATATTAAATAGAAATCCAGGTCATGGAGAGTTTGGCACAAATTGAAGACTTCTTTATTTAAAACTAATTCCTGTGAAGTCCATCAACCAACTCACAAGCTAGTAGACACAAGGTGTCACTCATTCCCATTATTAGGTTGAGTAATTTTTAAAATAGAATATATTATGTAATAGTGACATATTTTTCAGATAGCTCTTTTCATATGCATTTGAGCTAAGAGCCAGCCACACACGTGTGCGGAACCTCTGCAGGACCTGTTCTAACAGTCAGCATCTTCACTTTCCTTTTTTTTTTTTTCCCCAGTTAATTTTCACACTGTTAAGAGCTTTTGTTTATATCCAAGTAGGGTAGGGTAAAGCTTCCAAAAATGCTAGCAGTGTTCAATCAGGCTCCAAATTTTGTGAAACCTTCCTGTTAGACATTTCCTGCAACATTTACTTACTCCAGTAATGGGTTATCAGATGTCCACACACTATCAGATGTCAGCTACAACAACATGAAGTTATTTCAGAAGTAAGGTTTAAAAAGGAAGATACCAAATACCACTTATGTTCATTTCAGAAAGTTTATTGCACCAAATGCCGCAAAGAAATAGACCAAAATGATAGCGTACATAAACAACTATAAGAAAAAAAACCCATGTAGTCTGACATTGGTATTCAGTCATTCCTAAAAAAGCCTATGCTTTCCAAACATGCAATAGCGACACACATTTTTTTCTACTATGGAAAACCTGCTATGTATGTCAAATTAGCCCACTTGACCTCAAAAAAAAAAAGTCTGGAGTATATTCAGCAGTTCAGACTCAATTTTGATTTGGGTCCTTTTAACTGAAGAAGTTATACTTGAGGGATAAGTGATCATTTTGTGTAAACTTTATCTACAAGTTTGGTGTGTCTGAAAGGGGTTTTTGCCTTTAAGAGTAAAGATGCACATAGTGGGGAGTGGGGAAGATCAACCTGTAACCCTGGAGGATGCCATTAGAAATGTGAATTACAGCATCAGTGTCTATTTGTTTCTTTTGGGCAAAAGAAAGTTGTATACATCAGTTCAGAGTACCTACTTAAAATGTTTAGCTCTTGGTATCATTTGGGGTTAAAGAATTCACTCAGATTAAATACTTCAATTTAGCAGTTCATTCCTCCCCTCTGTGTATGAAGGTTTAGTCTTGCCTGAAAAAAGCATACATTCTTTAAATTGCACTGTGTAAACTGCATTTATGTGGGATTTTGGAAAGACTGTGCACTCCCACTTAACCAAGAAAGTATGTATTAAGTTTACAAAAACCTACATAATACTGATAAAAACAACTTTGGAATATTTGAAAATTTAGCTACATTATCAATTTTAAACACATCTGTACATTCATATCACTTTTCATCCTATTAAAATAAAAAACAGAAACATGCCCTAAAGATGTCTAACAACACATCTGTAAATACTTACTGCCCTGTCATGCCACACTAATTTACATAAACAGCAAGATGCTACCAAAAACAAGTTAAAGACTTAGAGTCAAAAAAAAGCCCTAGAAGGTGGAATCCTGTCAACTGAGGTAGTACATTTGGTGGAGGGGAAAATATGTATTTCACTTTCTTGAGACTAAAGCCTTTTAAAGGTAATAAACGGCTATAATTTTGGATTTTCTTTCCCCCCAAAACTAAAATTGTGAGAACAAGATAGTTCATCATGTAATTTCTGAAGAGCAGCAAAATGTTAGAGAAAGCAGCAAGAACTATTCAATTTTAGCCTGGGCTGAAGAAAATCCAAGTGCTTTTGACCATCGGCTCACATGCCGCCCCTAGGTTAATCTGATGTCTTGCCAAAAGGCAGATTTTTAAAAAATATTCTTTAAATAGTTGATGTAGTAAAATCAGGCATTACTGATCATGGTACTAGCCTTGAAATCACTGAACGTTGGCTGACCTTTGACTTCCTTAGAATAGTTATGATAACAAAAGCACATATTTCTACGTTAGCACAAATTTCTTTGAGGAATTGTCAGAGTCTGTTCAGATAAAAACCCAACTAATACTTTAAGAGCACTGGAATTGACTTCTAATGAACTCAGCTACTATTTAAGAGTGACATGAAATAGCGAAAGTACATGAGGATTTCTATATACACTCAGGGAAGCAGTTTCATAGTCTTACACATGCGCACGCACACATTCTCCATCACGGGGGTAGTTCAGGAATATGTGACTTGCTCTATGGTTCTTTGTCTTAACCTTGTGGAATAGAGAGTGATATCTGCTAACAGGTATATGCAGAAGTAAGTTTACTTTCCGGCAGACAGAAGGATTCACAGACCAAAGATATGAAAAAATTGCTTAACTATAAAGCAGTAGGAGAAAACCTGAACCATAGAAAGATTTTAGCCTTTTTAGGCAGAATACTAGGGCCAAGTATGAAAATGTAATAAAAGAAACATCTGGAATGTCAGGTCAGAACCCCAGCACAGAAGGAACAGCTTTAGATGCATTGTATCAGAATATTAAGAATATTCCTCCACCTGGAAACAACCTCCCTTCACAGTAGGTCAGTCTACCTATTTCCCTCAAAAAGCAACACAAGGTTAATCAAGACCCCTATCACATTTAAACAACTCACAATATGCACATTTCATTATTTCAAATCATTCAAAGTTTACTGTAGAAAATTCCAAACATCAAGGTAGTAGGAAATAAAAACACTTTTAATAAAAGTGTGTCCCTTCAGTGTTAAAAATCTGTAATCACCAACGAGGAGAACTCACGACCGGTGACCAGGAGTTTCTTATCAGAATTCATTATTCCCAAGCAATTGTGTTGCGAGCAATTTGCTTGCAAGCTGACAATTTCAGACACCTCATTCATGCTGGCTCACAACAGAACGGTCCAACATTGAGTTTTCCGTTTCTTTAAGAATGTTTGTTTTGATCCTTTGTTCTCTCCTCAGTCTGGTCCATAGTTTCATATCCAGCTTAACAGTGCTTTATGCAAAAGTAGTAATTTATTTAATTTTTTTTTTTTTTACATTCATGTTATCAACCACATGAAAACAGTAAAATACAAAATTTTATTTTGCTTTCTAGAAAGACAGAAGGCCAGTATCAACTAGTGGAGAAGTAGTTTCTGGTCTCAAAGTAGTTAACCTATTAAGAAAAGGCACCCAGATGATAGTTCGAGATTTCTGTAGAATCAAAAAGGGTAATTGCAAACATTCATAGTAATATCAAATATTGGGGTTTGCCCCCTACATTTCGTTTTACTTCAAACAATGCTCATCTTCTATTCCTTCTTAGAGTGACAACTAGTAGCTGGAAAAAAGTAATACTTTCGACTAAAAGTTTGGGGGGAGGTTGTTTGTTGTCTTGTATTTCCCCAATAAGATTGTCTTCAGTTTGTGCCAATTGCTTGGTGTACCTGCGCACAGACACGCACTAACAGCACTGATATCATACAGAAGTTTGTCAAATTCATACTCCTCGGAGATAGTAATACTTGATGACACCAAGATACAGGTTTAGTTCCCAGGACTACAGTCATATGGAAACTCAAAAGAGTTATTGAAGTTGCATCAGCAACAAATGTAAACTTGTAGCAGAAACTCCATAAGGCTTTCCCACAAAATCCCTGTCTTGGAAGTCCACTCCATTCCACTTCTAGCCATGGGCTCATTTGAATGCCTCCTCATTAAAACAGAAACAGCCACAGCTTTCTTAACCTCTTGTCCTTAAAGGGAAAAGTCACATCACCTCATGCGCACCTCCATTCCCACATAACATTTGGCTGCTGAATCCAGGTTCCTTGTTCCGAGCCCATCACTTCTACTATACAAAAATCACACGTATGGTCTGCAAGAAAATCATCTCCCATCTAATACACTTGTGTTTAGGAATGCTATATACATAGTTTACAGCTCCTCCTTCTCCCCAGCAAAGAAACATACACCACACTCACAAGCATAGTATTACAAAATCCATTCTAACCCACTTGTTCTTTTACCTGCTACTTCATGGTTTCGAGCAGCGTTTTGGACGGCAGCTCCTGGTCTGCCACATAGTGTTAACTTTTGTCCTTTGAATAAAAATAAAATGCATGGATGCAGTCACTTTCTTGATTTAAGTCAGAAGTGAGATTGTAAGAAAAACCTGAATGCCTTTTACGTTATGTAAACTGAAGTCCTCCAATAAAATATCCGGTTGAAATCAGAATCGAAAGGTGGTAGAATAGTCAGTCATCACCTGCTTTCCTCAGTTTTCCCCTTTACCAGTGTTTGGCATCTCTGTTCTTCATTCAACATTCCCCTTTTGTTTATTTTACTTTAAGGGAATAACTATCCTGAGATCGTAATTTATAAGAGTATTTGAGCAACATATGGGGAATGAGTACTTGCTATAGCAGCCAACAAAGGCAAGTCATTGGATTCAATCCTAGAAATTAAAAAAGAGAGACAGACTTTAAAATATACAGTCACCTTCAAAAAAAGAATAGAAAAACAAGATATTTTTCATCCACTTTAAAGAAACTGGAAATGTCTTGCTATAAGTGAGTTCATTGTTTAATTATTATTTATTGCCATTACTCATAACATACCAGTAAACGTAGGTAATGTTCAAAACCAAGAAGTATGCTACCATTTGAGTCAAAAGACAGCGGTATTACATTTTGTGGCATATAATCTTTTGCGGTTTAAATAAAAAAAATTTCTTTGCTAAACCACACGCCTTAGCTTGTAGTCTTACCAGTCAGTAGGCACCAATAAGCCCAGTTTAAGAAAGCAGTAAACATCAGCTTATGGAAGACTCTACATTTCATGTATTGAATATAACCCAGTTCACCATATAGTAGCGCTTTCTTACCAAAAATGACCAAAGGCTGGAATTAATTATAATGCAATAACAGTACCAGGAACATCTCTCAAATGCAATGGTCAGTTTGCAACCATTTCCAAATGTAAAGCTGCTCAGAGGCCAGGTCATATGTATATATTTATACACACAGTGAGAAAAGCGCTTATTTCAGGGTCTCACTATTTACAGCTACATTCCCTGGTACGAAATCTTGAAGAGTTGTGAAAATGATAGTTAAGTTTAACATACAGTGCTAAAACCCATCTTCTTGGGAGAGTGTGTGTTCACTTGTTCCCCCTTTCCCCTCTTCTGCTGTCAGCAGGTGCATCCCAAAAAGTTGTATGCCAATCAAGTACTATTATTAGAAGGCAGCTGCCAAACAGGACACCTGTCTATTTTCCTACACCTGCTTTTTGAGAACCCCTCTTCCCTCCAGATACAACTGCACCACCTAAACTTCCAAAAATTCTCAAGTATTTGTTGGGATGAAGCTTTCATTAAGGACAGAGACAGAAAGAGTGCAGATGAATGCGTGGATAGCCTCCTAATGACCAAAAGCCAAACTTTCTCCATTCTGAAGATTTAAGAATGACAAGTAATTTGGTCTTGTTGTAAAACTCTGTCTCCTCCTGATTTACAGATGGCTCAGTAAAACCCACTTTTTACACTTTATTAGGCACATGAAAGAGGAGAGTGCTAAATATGAAGTAAGAGGCAAGTCCTCATGGGAACAAAATGTCAACATTCAGAAACTGAAAAGGAAAATAACTGCCCCAAGTTTTGGCATCGGTGAAGACCGATACCTGCAATACTCACCCCAACACAATTCCTAGTTCCTTTACATGCACTCTTGTATGTCCTCGCAGATATTCTGAAAGCATTTTGCTTTTGAGATACATCTCCTGTAGTCTATCCTCGAGATGCATTATGCACTGTAAACACAGACCAAAAACCTCAGAGCAGCTTTAGCGATGGCATGCAAATTTTACAGAAACATAAGCATATCATTTCTAGCTTCTATCTTAGCTAGAACATCTTTCAAACTAAATCTCCACTCCAAAATCCAGGACAGGCAATTAGTTTTGTTACAGCTGTGCTAGCAACAATAAAAAGTTACCCCACCCCCTCAAAGGGGAACCCCGCTCAGAGAATTGGGGCATTCCAGCTTTCTTGGGCAGCAAGTTTGTTGCACAAACTGTACATCCATTTTCCACTCAAGTCAGCCACAGTGTTTCTGCTGAATTACATAGTTTTAACCAGGTTCAAAGACACTCAAGGCATCTTACTAAGAATCAAATCAGAATACTTGGATCAAGATGTCTTTGTTATAAGTCAGTACCATTTTTTCTGAAAGACTCAGCTTAGACAACAGTTCCTCAAATTAGCACTCCAGCTCTACAGATCTGCTGTTCAAAAAACTAACACTTAAGAAGTAGAAGACACCACTATCTTATCCATCATAAAATTATAGCTCTCTTGCTCACTACTTTGCCATAGAAGCGAGGTTATAAATCTTTTTCAGACATTTGTTTTTACTAGTCCTAGGTACGTCTAGTTTAAAATTGCTGAAACGTTTGATGCTGTCTGCCAAAAGGTTCACGTTGAAATACCAATTTAATCACTCCCCTTTTCTTTCAGCAGTAGCATGCTAGAGATGCATATCATTTTTAAATACAGTCATGTGACATATGGTAATTTCTCATACACCAACTGCAGGAGAACAGATGAACCTTAGCTTCAAAGAGAGAGGGGGGGTTTTTTGGTAAGACAAGGTCAGTAGGTACGATGTCTTCACAAGGTGAGCAGGTAGGATGTCTCAGGTATTTTATTCTAGGACAAAAGGTATATTCAATTCAATATTGCTTCTTTCCACAGGGATGACCACTTCAAAAAAGTTAAATTAGTTCAGCTCTCCAAACTCCAGGAGATGAAAGCAGGAAGCACAAGCAGAACCTCACATTATCAAATGTATAATTATCCGGCAGGCATAGACAGCAATTAGAAACAGTAGTGGCAAATAACTTCAGGCCATTGTCCAATGTACTTTCCAAGTTGAATAAAAACTACAGGTATTAGAAATGAGATCCTGTGAAACCAGTTTTGCTAATTAAAAAATAATGAAAAAAAAACCCAAAAAAAGACTCATGCTTGTAGGTAGCCTACCATGCGTTTGTCTGATGGTCTGCAGCAAGATGAAGCTTTTAAAAAGCATGCTACATAGCTGTAGAATAAGATCACTGCCACCAGTTGAGGAAAGGCAAAAGCTTTTTGAGAGTAGTTGGATGTATTTGCTTCAAGCAACTTTTCACTCAAGTCATTATAGTCATAACACTTCTGATTCTAGCTGAAAGGGAAACATTCTCATCTTTTCCATTACAGGTAACCCTAACGCAAAAAGCCTATGAGCACTTCCTCAGTGGTTCAGGGGAGCACACAGATGATTCAAAGTAGCAGTTCAATATATTTCAATTCCAGTACTTGTGCTAAGGGATTATGGATTTTTATTATTTTAAGTTGTGAGGGAGCAAGTAAGGAAGAATCCCACATTATTCTAAAAGAGATTCTTTACATAGGATTATCTGCTCCTTCTGAATGCCAAAGAATCAAAAGACATTTTCCCCCGTAAGCTTGGTGCATGAATCCATTTTGTTCAAAATGTCCACATTAAGCGAGGTACAGAAGTATTTTTATGTTAGCTTCCTCTGCAGCTTTTCTTATTGACTAAATGGGAAAAAAAATAAATGTCAAGTCACTTCAAAAAATAGAAGAGTAGCTTAAAAAGAGTTTAAAGGTGCAGGTAAAACTTTTGACATATTGCTGACATGCTGCAGTTGCGATCATTACTTCCCTCTCACCTGGCATACTGCAAAGCTCTCTGCAGTATGGTTACCAGTCCGAAGTGCCACAACAAAGATATCACCACCTGCCTTTCATTCAGTCTCAAGCTGGATTTTGTTTTTTGTTGTACAACAAAAAAAACCTGAAAAATCTTATTCATCTGAATAGTAATTGCATGTAAAGAAACATACACTCCTAAAGGAAACTTCCACCACACTGCATTATGCTCATCTCTGATCAATATTAGCACATACAGTTTTGTCAAAATTCAAATCAATAGAATCACTACAATAAAAAAGTCACACTTCTCCCCCTAGAGTTTAGTGGAACACTTAACTTCCATGCACCGATGGTTCTATTTAGGCAAAGAGCTGTAAAATCCACCGACAGAAGGATCAAAGTGTCTCTAACATGGATTACAGAAAATTTACAGGTTACTAGCACTGGCGCTTCCCTGTGCTTTTTGTAAGAAAAAGAAAATTAAAAAAATTGAAAAAACACTCCATCTCCAAACCCCTCCCACACCACACAAAGTATACTGAAATTGCATACACAAACCCCAAGTCAACATTGGAAAGAACATTTCAGCTGCAGAATCAACTATTCAGTTTAAAAATGCCAGAATTTAAGGTGTTACTGTGCAAGTGTTAGGATATAATTTTAACCAAAGTTGCGTATTTTTCAACACCCAGAAGAATCCAGACAACACTGACAGTGTACCCACATATTTTGCCTAGCACATGACTTCCAGAACTTAGTGTAATCAATACCACTAATTTTATCCAAAACAGTGCCAACTAATACTATTTACAGCTGTTAGCATTTGGCTCTGTCTTCCTCTTCCATCTGCTAGCACAGTGATTACACCGCAATTTTCCCAAGGCTACCCGGCTGAAAGACAAACCAATTCTGTTAATTGAAAAAGGGGTTATTACTGAAAAAAAAAAAAAAAAAAAACACACCCCCATCTCCCCTCACTTACAACTGTACGTTAAAAAACTGTATTATAATTACCACTGTCAGACTTGTGGGTAATTTTGTTGTAATCAGCAAAACCAGCATTACTGATTTGCTCTGATGAACTCTACTACTAATGAGGACAGGGAAGGATGCTGTGGAATAGAGAGTATGCAATATGTCAGAGTAACATCCCCTGTAGCAACCCACCCGCCCCCAAGTGTTTTCAGGTTTCAGTCTCCTCCCAACAATTTTACAGAGACACGGGCAAGGCTATCTGAGACAGCACTTGCTGACAGGGTTGGCTAAAATATGCCTAACACAGAAGGGTCAGGTAAACACACAGAGGCACAATTATTGGGTGAGGAGAGAGAAAAGGCATCCACTGCATAGGGCTGGATCGACAGCCCAAGAATAGAAAGCTGTATGCTAGAAACAGACTTGGGTAGATAGAAGCTTCACCAACATAGCGTAGAGAAGTGTGGAAATTATACAAACAAAAAAATAAAAGACAAATTTAAGAGTCCTAATCATAACCACACAAGGACCATGCTAAAATTGCCTAAACAACTTTAGTTTTGGCATATGTATTTTGGAATAGTTAACTTTAATCTGATCTATTAGATGTAAATTACAGATAAAACAGTATCTATTCCTGGACTGTAGCATGTGTTCTTTTAACTATGTTGCACCAACTCTGCATTATTTCAGGCATTAGTTCACTGGTATCACAACACTGCATACATAACTCTTGCTGTCTAAGCTACGCAATTTTCATTAGCTTCAGTCTGCAGTAAAGAAATACTTACAAAGTCAGCTGGGACGTTGAGTTTGTAAAGCTGTAAAATAGACTGCAATAAACTGGATACTTGACTCGAAACCAAAACATCCTTGCCTAACTTCATATTGTCCATCATCTTTTTCTGGCTTGTAGCTACTTGTACGTTCCACTTATCCGTGTCTGCAATAATGCAGACAGCTTCTGCTATGGGCTCATCTAGCACTGGATGCTGCAACGGATACAAAATACCAACATTATATCACACTTTCACATACATTTCCACAACTTAATTTGAGGTTCCACTTTCATGCACACTGAGGCAGGGAATAAGAAAGTGATCCAATGAATGTTTTTGTCCAATAGGAGACCAAAGGCATCTCAAAAAAAGACAAGTAACACCCACTTCAGTGACAGAGTTTGCATTCAGCAACATCAAGTCAGTTTAGTCTTAACTGCCAATTAATCAAGGCATTTGATTTTATGTAATGCTTCAAAATCACTATTCCAATATTTTTTTTCTTCAAGTATTCTACTTTCCCTGAAAAGATAAGTTTCTTCCAAAATGAAAAGAGTAATAATTATACTGATCCAGTGATGGTGAAAGTATATTTAATGTTTCAGATATATGTGAGGAATTTCACCACTATGAACAGTCACATCAGGGTATGTATGAAGAGACAGTATTGTATTGGACCAATCTGATGTTGTTTGAAGTTATATATACACACCACTGTTTCAGATAGTACATGAACTCATTCCAGCAAGGTGATTCTTAATTGCTATAGAGAGAACCTGTTAACAATTACGAGATAAACATTTAAAATTGCTAAGGTCACACAGTTACTTTAGTGAAAGGTTAGTTATAAATTAATTATATAAATTAGGAGTACCTAAAGTAGAATAAGAACATGACCAAGTTCTACCTATAGACAACTACTTTCTGTAGTCAGTCATTTCTGCTACAATCTAGTATAATACAGTAGGCCTCCAAAGACTTCATCTCCCTTGCAACGCATGCCACTAAGTGGCAAAATAAGGTGTTTCAACCTGTGTAGCCTTTTTATGAAATATAGATAATTCTGTCTGCTATTGTCACTGAAAAGAGAAGTAGTTTGAGGTTTTTTCCTCATTTGTAACTTGAAGTTGCAAACAATTTTCCTTCTGTTTATCTTTGAAGAGAAGCCTTAAGAGAGTATCACGTGATTCTTGTGTGAACAGGCTTTGCACACAATGAATTAAGGGCTTACATCTTTCAAGAAGGAAGACGTGTCAGGTGTGGCTGTTAAGAACAGGTAAGTAGAAAGAAACCTATTCAAAGAACCCATTTCTGTAGATTTCAGTAATATCACAACTCCTACTGTGACTCAGAACAGTACTTTAACTCACATGCATTGCATGAAGTAGGTCTGCTAATAGACACTGCTTGAGTTTTTCATCATTATTTATTCCATGCAGCACTAGATCAGGTATATATGTATGACAGTAACCACCTAGAAGCGATCTTCCAAAATTTTTCACGCATTGACTGCTGATTGTATTTGACCTGAAATACAGAAATACAAAGGAGGTAAGATTCTTACTTGACAAACTGCATCCAGATTTCATATGAATGCAAAGTCTGGTTTATCACCCTTGCTTCTACTCCAAATATTAAGCAACAATTGTACTCAAAATACAGTAAACCAATTATTGGTGCTCTTTGAAAAAAAGGATTTTAAAAGCTGAACTTTAACAAAATATTGATTCCTTATAAATTTATGAAAAGGCAAATCTACATGTATTAGAGCTTGTGGTATGTATGAGCTCTGCTCCCTGTTCTGCAGCTAACAGATTTGCTAAATTTGAGTTTTCTTCAACTCAGCCCAAGAAGCAAACTCTTTCTAGCTACCTACCTTAAGCATCAGCAAGCTCCATGTGTACCTGTAAAGCCCAAAAGCCTAAATAAGGGCAACCTATTTGTTTAAAATCTGTCTTTGGTTTGTCAAATATGTCAAATCTAAACAATTACCGGTTTAAGGAAAGCTCAAGTTTTGTTTGTCCTCAGATGTTCTGTCTACACTTCTACATTAAATGTTTCAAGCAGTTAATATAAACAAAGTTTGATCACTTTTTTTTTCTTTAGACATTTGAAGAACACCTTTGTCACAAAACTTCACTACCTAAACCTGCTCCATCTTGGGGTGGTTTTTTTTTTGTTTTTTGGGGTTTTTTTGCCAAGTCTGTTTACAACAATCCTAACCAAACCAGTGTCTGCTATGGATTTGTTTGCAAGGAACTTAGTCAAGATCCCAGAGGACTTCAGACTTGAAACCCTGAACATCCCTAAAGTAGCAGCAGCTTTTCACTCCATTTAGTTCTAAGTTAATTAAAACTTCTTTACCTCGGTAAAGGAAGTTCCACTTCTGCAAACTCTTCTAGTCTTTTGCTGACGTTATCATGATGGACTTCGTCAGGGATACAACAATCACCTTCTTCATCACTGGCTCCAAGAGCACTGTCTGAACTCTCATTCCTTGGAATGTCCCCTTCAACTCTGAAGGGGATTTTCCTTCCAGCATCCCCACAGGGGACATCTTTAGCACCTACTTTAGGGGAATCCTGTTTGACAGCAGAACCTACTTCTACACAGCCAGGGGAATAGTTCTCCAGATTGCCAGAGCACAAAGTTCTAGTTTCTTTCAGGCTTGGCAATTTTTCAGTTTCTATGTTATCTGTGGGCAAAAGTGGTTCACTAGATATTGTGTTTGCTGAATTCATTTCAGTTCCTTTACTTCCCATATGTTGGTTAAGTGTACTCTCCTTCCCCTCACAAGGTGGGATTTGTGCATAACAAGCATTACGTTTACTCAAGGGTACAAAGGCAGCTTCACAACTTTCTTTTTGATTCTGGGAAGCATCCACAGTCAGATTTGTGGAACTTGAGGCACAGTGTATCACCTCTGGATTTTTTCTGAATGCCTTCAGATTTTCTTCCATTTCTCTTCTATGAGTTTCTAAGTCTGACTCTGGTGACGCAGAACTCCCAATATGAAAGGTGACCTTTTCTAAGTGTGAACTCCTGTGGCCAGACCTTTCAGGACAAGGTAAGGCGGATGACCTATTAGACAATTGCTTTTCCACTTTTCTCTCGTTCTGGTTCTTGTTCTTTATATCCATTAAATCCTCTGATTTAGATGGCTCTTCAAAGTGGTAGGACACGATTCCTGTATCAGTGACAGTTCTTTTCCTACCATCAGCTGCTCCTTTACGGAAACTGCTAGTTAGACAGTCACCAGATGCTTCGGAGTTCTGACTGGCCTTTCCTATTGCCTCTCTCTTTTCTTTTGAAGACGCTGGGACAGCATGAGCGCTTTCCGGTTCATGTACACATTCTGCAATACCATTGTTCTTACTTCCATCATTCTTTGGAGGTAGGATTGGAGGCACAAGAGCAGGTTCATTTTTAACAGTGACAACCACATAATCAGACTCCTCTACCTCTCCCTTTTCTAGTGCAGTTGTGATCTTGCTTCCATTTAGCACTTGCTCTCCTTCCCCAGCCTTCTCACTCCATGTCAGCTGATTTTCCTGCAGCTCAGAGCACCGAATGAAGTAAGTTAGAACATAAAGCAAGCGTTGCACCAACTCCTTGCGTTTTCCAACAATAACAGTTCGAGTCAATCTAACTGGAGAGCCTATGGCACCGTAGAGATCACCTACACAGGAAAATAAAAATTTCACACACTTATGTTTGGTTGTAATATAAACTATACTGTTTAAATTCAACACATTTTGAAACAGTATTTACTATGGACACAAATCAGACAGTTAATTTCTTTCACAGTAAGTTCATAGAAGTTTAAAATGAAGAATAACACAAGTAGTCCACTCGCTCTTCTTATACCCAGCTTGTGTCCAGAAGGGTTTTGGTGGTTTTGTGAGGGATTAGTTGCTATTACTCAGTTTCTTTCTGACCAAAGCCACAAAGGTTTTTATTTAAATGTTGCTCACAAGATATTATCACTTGGAAATTGACATAACAGGGGGTGAAAAGGAATACAGACCCAGCTGAACTCTGAAGCCAGCTATACTGTTTTCTATTTTTCTACTCATTTTCTTTCACATCAAAGTTATTCTGTTTTATTGCAGTTATTTTTTTTCTGTTAAACAGGATTTTTCATAAAGATAAAATCTAAATTATATTTTTCAGGACCGAGATATCAAAAAGCAAAAAAGGATTCAATATTAGCTTAATAAATAAGTTTCTGAAAAAAGAGGCATGTAACTACCTTATCAGGCACAGCACGTGCACTTCTATGTACTTGGAGTCAGCCTCGCTAACACGAGCATTTATCTTTGGCAGGGGGTAACGAAGAACTAGAAAATATATTCACTACTTAAAATGTGAAAGGCAGGTACTACAAGACAATTTGAGTCCCCCAAAGAACTGCTTATTTGCTAGCTCTTTTATCCTGAAGAACTGCTTTTTTAACAGAAGTAAGGTCATACATATCCTACTTTCAACATACTTGTTTGAGAGAGTGGTAACTATCTTCCAGCTGCCTATAATCCTCTCTCAGCTGAAGGGTTTCTACTCCAAAGTTCTGGGAGAAATAAACACAGATAGCCAATAAAGGAATGTTCAAATGCTCCGTCTAATAAGGGAACATTCATATGCTCTATGATGGGTTAACTCAAGAAATGTCTAGTACCCTACTGAGCTAACCCCATTGTCTTCACTTGACACCGATTAGAGAACACCCACTAAACTGTCTTTGTCTAACCAAACTGTGGCTGAGACAACCACCAAAAGCTCCATTTTCTTTAGCCACTGAAGTGTTTAACTTGAAAGCAGGCTTCTCTGGCTTGAGGCTTTATCAGCTACCTGCTATCTACCAGATTGTTTCAGGTGTTAAGTCCTTGCTCAGGGCTGCTCAAATGTTCTGGACTGAGTTTGCCACCAGGATTTTGTACTAGACCTCAAGAAGCAAAACTAAATTAAAGTTATAATCAGAGCTTCAGGAAAGTTTCTACCAAGGGCAAGAGGACCTCTGGTTTCAACATGAAGAGACAAAGACAGGAAAAAAACCCCAAAACCAAACCAAAACCCAAACAACACATTTATGCCCAGCCTCCTCTTTGCCATACAGAACATAAAAAGAATAAGGCTCCTGACTCCATTCCTGCAAAACAACAATGAATGAGACAGGAGTTCCACTGCTCTCACTTACTGTCTCCCCTGCCAAGATCTGCCATTTCCCACGGTGCCAGCGATGCACTGGAGAGGCTGCTGTGTGGTGGCATCAGTGTGTTGTCTTCCCCCAGTTAAGAACACCCTTGCAACTAGCCCCATAGCCTAACACGCCAACAAATTCATTCCTCAGTAATGGGAAATGGGCTTCATATTACTCAGTTGAAATTAACCTCAATGCCTGGTGCACCACAAGGACTAGCAAGTTGGAAAGGAAATGGGAAGATATCTTTTTACTTTTGAGTTGAGGACAGTTGCTATGGAAATCAGATTCAGGCTTCGCGTTCATTTGCACAATTGACTTTTATATAAAACCAACACTAGCAAGACAGTAAAAAAAGTTAAAAATGTGGTTTTCAAAACATACTAATGCCTACTCTTAAGATGGTCAGATTGAAGCTGATGTTTCAGAGACAGTATTGTGTCTTCCTGACAGTGGTACTTACATTATATATCAATTACAATTACATACTGATATAACTATGTAATAAAAACATAAGTCTGAAGGTGGAAAAACAGGTAGATCAAAATTCTTTCCTTAATAAAAAGCAATTTCCATTTTAAAGCACTAAGGTCCATTAATTATTATTTATTTTTTTTAGTTTTTTTTTTTTTTTAAACCCCCCCCCCCCCCCCCCCCCCCCCCCCCATTTTGAAGAAGCAGACCAGCAGAGGGCAACATCTTACTTTCATTGTCAATTACTGCAGCCACCTGATAATGGCTTTTGGTCTTTATAACAAAAGAAAATGAGAAAGCATTTTGAGTTCAGGCACTGAGAACTTGGCTAGACCAATGCTGGTAGCAACATACAGCCTGGGGAGGCGAGAAGAGAAACAGAGTCTGGACTAGTCACCAGTGGTGGCTCCTGGGAGTGACCACAAGAGCTACTGCTGATCTTACGCCTCCAGTCCAGCTGGTTTTTATAACCCTAGGCCTGGATCCATCCCCAACACCCTGAGCAAACTTCTATTTTCCCCTCCAAGTCTAACCATTACTCCTCTGCATAACATCTTAAAGACATCCTAAAACAGGAAACACTTCCACTACAACTACATGGCCAAGGCAGCAATTCCTAGTTTCCTAAAGATTGCTGAGAATAACAAACTTAACAGAAACAATTAGTAAGAAACACAACCAGTTGTGCAGTGTAAAAGTGTCGTTGTTTGGGCTCATTGCTTTAGCATGCATGTGTGTTATTTTACATGGCAATATAGCATTTCAGTTAAAGTTTGATCTGATGTCAGACTCAGCTGCTGCCAAGAGGAGCAGTTTTCAAGGATTTACCACTGGCAGTGTTACTCTCTCAGCTCTCACTCACCTACCCATTTGACAGCAGTTATTTAACCCCCTGTATCAAGATAACTTATAAGCTATGAAGTATTTGTCCGAGAACAACAGCCTGAGTAGCCGGGCATGGAACGAAGATCTTGGCCCAAGCCCACTCATGTAACTGAATGGAGGCACTGCCAGTTGTCAGACTTCTGTTGTCTTGGTGTCCATCCTAGCTCTGTGAGAAAGAGACAAAAGGAGGTAGCCAGGGCAGTTTCAACTACAAAGGGTCTCCAAGGCCCAGAGAACTCCCCTCAATCCAATCTGTTTCTTCTTGTTCTTCCCGAACTGCTCAGACCATTCACAGCACTTGCACCGCCTTAACACTCGTATACCAAATTACTTAACCAGGCAGCATAACACAGGATGACAACAAGCGACCAAGGAAAAAAGCAGAGCACTCAGGCTGTGCAAACAGGCCTCCAAATACTCTGTTTAATCAGGTGCAAGACATCCATGCGTAGCTCTGCCCAGCTTACAGCAAGGCAAATCAGCACGTGTGATCTGGATCACAAGTAGCTCTCAGGTAAGAGGAGTGGGTGCAGAAAGGTGCTAGTTATAAAGAAGCCTGAAGTTTTGCATTTCCTACTGACCAAGCTGTGCCCAGAGAGGGTTATACGGATGGGATTTTGCCAGCATGTTCACAGACTGTGATGTGCGCTTCTCAGAGAAGGCCTTTATGGGAGGATGGTCAACCGGCATTACTGTTGGGACCCAAGCCAGATGATACGTCAGCACCGCAGTTAACAAAGCAGCAAAGAACCTAGGAAAAAGAATATGACCAAAGTAACACCAGCAAAAGAATACCTTAAGTGTTATAATACATCCACATGCACTGGGAAGCACACAAGCTCTTTTAAGAAAAAAAAGGGGGGAGATGAGACTTACTGATTTTTGTTGATCTGTTCTATCAGAAACGTAAATTCTTTAAGAAAACGCTGGCATAGCTGATTCTTTTCCAGGGTGCTGGACATCATATTAAGCCACACAGGCTCTGCAATCCTTGGAACAGAATATAGGTTCCAGATGGTAACTCTGTTCAAAGAAAATTCCCCAAAAGTAAGGGTTAACATGCACTTTTCAATCTTGCAAATACAAGTAGTCCCTTTCCTCTTCTATTGTTCACCGATATTTTTTTTAACTTTATTTTATTTTTTAGTTTTTGTAAGATCTAGGCAACTAAACAAACTGGAACAGTTTTCAATACACACTAGTTACTAGTGTCCCCGAATACAAGTCTGTTTAATTCAGTGTACCAGTAACTTAGTGTCTTCAAATATTACATATTCGTCTTCCCTTTGTGGCATTCCCCTGTGTATTTGTACTCAGAGAATCTGTTTGGAAATCATTTTGAGGGGGGATAGAACTCATTTATTCATTGCACTGATCTGATTCCACATTCCAAACATACAGACACTCCATGCCACCAAAGCCTTGTCTCTCTTCTGAGCTGCCTTTCTCGGCATCTGGCAATTCCTTCCTCTGAAGTATCAAAAAGAGAGCCTTTGACGGCAACTTTCTTGTCAGTTAGTGTTCAGCATGTATGGCTAGTAGTTCATCTGCCTGAATACAACAGTCAATCCACTCATCTGCACAGGTATCAGCAGAAGCCAACTCTTGATGAGATCTTAAAGACTTTAATTGACAGTCCCAGGTACAGGTAAGCGCAACAGAACTACTTTTGCTCTCATTCTGAAAATGGCTGAGCTGCTTTGTTAAAGTTTTCTAAAAACATTTACTCAATACCCAACACAGAAAAATTCATTCACACTAATTTCAAGACTGGCTAAATTATAAGACCCTACGTTCAGTTGCTCATAACTGGAAGTGACAAGTATCTTTAGAGGGGCATAAGAAGAGCTCTCCTTGTAATTCAAAATTCCATCAACTCACCTGAATTCTCCCAAGGCATCCATGACACGGCTGATATAAACCTGCACTCTTTGGCTGGATTCTGCTATTTTTCTACATGAGATCATGGCCTTGATTAAGAGTAAAAGACACAAAACAGCTTCTTAAAGGATTTGAATTCTTCATCTTTTTAAGCTTCATTAAAATTGTCAAAATAATTAAAATCTAGTCCCAGCGCTACACAGCCACTCAGGACAGCAATAGTTGCCAACCTCCCTCCACCTCATGAGAGACCAATCTGTAAGACTGGACATGGGGAGAGAAGAGAAGAGAACATTTTTGAGGGAGTAAGGGGAATACAGCAACAAACATGAAAGGATAGAACACCATCATTTCCACAGCCTCCAGGGAGTCAAGAAAACCTCATTGTGAAATATGGTGAGAAGGAAAGACAAAGAAAAACCACCCGTAGCATAAGACTGTCCATTCTCATTCTGACTAGAAAAGAAACTGCACCTCTTTTTCAGCAAATACTGAATTCCTACACTGGGCTCAGGCCTACATGTGTAAGGAGTGAGGGAAGCTTGGAACCACGCACCTTCTCCCACTCTTCATCTACCAGATTCTAGAATACTTCATTCTGTTTGACACATTTTTCCACATGAAGCCAAGCTAGTATTCTGTACCTTTTCTATTGCATATTTCAGCTTGTTCATGTGAGATTCAAAAAGAGGAAAGTGAGAGAAAAAGAAATCCTGGAAGTTTCTCTGGGCTTCTTCTTTTTCTGGCAGAGAAAAGATTATGCTGATTGCAATTTTTTTCCTCCGAACCATTGCAGGATTGGAGCTGCAGCTTTCATCAGCCATACTAAACATTTCTTCAGTGGACCTGTAAGACAGATTTGTTAGGACAGTTACAGATGTATTGAGAGGCAATTCATCTTCTATCCATATCTCTCTATACAGTACAGGGTAATCCATTCTTAACTCTCCTTTGACTGACTACATAAAACTTTGCTGTCACCTGTCTCTGAACAGAGGATACCCAATGTTTTGATGAATAAGGCCTACGTTTGCTCAGATAGGAGGAAGGCAACCTGCAAGGAGGTCAGCTCCTTAAGTAGTGTGAACACTTTCCTCTGAAACAGAGCTACTACAAAATCCCTCCTTCTGCATTTATCTTTAAGGGAGGTTAAGAAAAGGGAATGGAGACACAACACAATCATTAGCAAAAAATGTTAAATTTCATTTCAGAGCTGTGAACTGCATCCAGCACTCAAAATCCTGCCTAGGTGCTCAGCAGCATGTCCATGATGGTATTGAATCTGTTCTGCAGCTCATGAGGGAAGCTGGGAAACGTGCTATCTGTACTGTTTCAGCATCTTAAGATGGATGTTTTAAGGGACTTAACCATGCAAAACAAACTTTCTATTTTAACTGAAGACAAAAAATGTCACCACTTAGTAATTACTGTGAAAACACAAACTTAACGCCTACAAATACATGCGTGCCTAGCTCAAAGTCGGATATACTTCAGTTTAAAATGTTTTGTTTTCTGCTAAGAAAAAAATAAACAGTGGCTATTTTGCAAGCATTATTATTTCCCCAAGTTCTGTTTATTCACTTGGTAGTCCTGCCACATTTCTTTCAACAGTTATGCCACTTTTCAATATTACACATGGGTTGATAGCAGGATCAATACTGCTCAATAGCCTCATTATCAGCCCGTCCTGTGGACCAAAACACACCTTCAGAGAGTTTGCAGATGATGCCAAAGTGGGGGAAATGGTCAATACACTGGAGGGCACTGTCCAGAGAGGCTTTGGAACCCCCATCCTTGGAGATTATCAAGACTCAATTAGACAAGTTCCACAGCAACCTGATCTAAATTCCAAGCTAGTCCTTTTTACAGACAACTGATTTGGATGATACCCAGAAGTCTCAGCCCAGGATAAGCTTTTCCTGTGATTACACAAAAGGGTAGCAATCCCCTCACCCTGTTCCTCCATAAATACTTGCATTGCAGTGCTAGATATTGATGTTGCCGGATTTCAAAAACTACTATTTTTTTCTTGCTTTCTTGATCAATTTCACTGAAAAAAAACACCTTTAAATACTATCTACATTAATGAGTAAAATAGTATGGTCAAAATGTCTTCTAGAAGGAATTTTAATTGAATAATGGCTTTTAATCCTCTGAGAAATTACAGGGGAAGAAGGGTAAAGACAGACAAGAAAGCCATTAGAACGCAAATGGAGACATTCAGAGCAGTAGCTCATATGGAAATAGCTTGGTTTTGGAGTTTCTTTGTAAGTTAAGACTGCAATATCAGCAAGTGGTAATTAAAAGCTTGAAGGCTTTTCATATCAGAATTATCTTGAAATGGAGCCTGTGGCATTAATAGACCACTATGAAATAATTAACAAGAGGAAAGCCTGAATGCTAAGCATTCATTCTAAGTTCATTCTAAAAATAAGTGGTTTGCCGTTTAATTGGTTTGAAAAAGTTAAATATACAGAAGTTTCTCATCATAGAGGTATGAGTCCAGGAATACAGGAAAAACACACACAATAAAACCCCAGCAAAAAACAGCCTGTGGGAAACCAGAGTTCAAGACAAAAACATAACCTCATTTGAACTTCAGGAACTTGCATGCAGAGACAGAAATTCCCAAGGAAGTTGGGAAAGGATGGTCAGTCAGCATCTAAGAAACATCACAAGCTTTTGTACTGCTTCCCAGGAATAGAAATTGAAGAATTTAGGTCTGTGAGAGAAGCCTTTTCAACAAAGCTGCTAATCTAGCTTGCCTGCCAATTGGCTACATGGAGTTCCAGCTAGACATCTCATTTTCTTTGAGCTATTGGCCTAACACATCAGTCACAGAGACTGTAAAATCTTGGCTGTACAAGCTGAAGTGCAAACTCTGCTGTCACTAAAGTATTCAACCAGAAGCCTACTGTTTCTCCAGCAAGTAACCAGACAACAAGTATCTGAAGAGGCTTTCTGGCTTAGGAAGAACCCCATTTCACAAGTAGTTCTAGATAGTGGAAATAATAACTTCCTGTTTCCAATATCTCTCCCCAGGATAGATTCTCCAATGTGGAAGAAACACAACCTGCTCCCTACAGTGAAAAAGCAGCCCAAAAAGACTACTTTCCTCTAAACAATGCGTTACTTCCGTAACACTTTAAGGAAATCTTCTATTTGTGAAACTTTGGCTTCTTCTTAAACTGGGCTGAAATTATCTTATTTATCCTAAATGTTTAAACTTTTTTTTGCATGCACTGCTCTAAGCCTTATTTCTTTAGGAAACTAGATTAAAAAGTACTTCAATTTACTGAAAGCAAAATGTTTACTAGCTTATTCTTAACTGCAAGCATGATTTAGAAGGCATGACTGCCACATTAGCACTACTGCACAATTCTTCACGGTAAAAATGATTTAGTAAGAATATCCAGGAAAAAGCTTTGAGTGTTGACGCTTGGGAAAGAAGTCTTTCAAAGAGGGTTTGTTTTTGTTTTTTACTGACCACATATTTTAACTGACAGCTTTTATGCTCCTCTTAACTGAAAACACTGAAGAAGGAGAGAGGCCAAACAGTAGGAATTTGTTGCAGCTCTCCTCTAATTCCATGCTGTCTCTGGGTGCAGGTGGATGAGCATACGAGCAGATCATCAAGAACCATTTGCTATTTTGCAACTGACAAGGGAAGAATTTGCTTATTAGCTATGAAAGGTCTGCTGCATTCCATGCTTTGTTATGCCACCAAGCTACAAAAGCTAATAAAATTCCAAAACAGAAGCCAAGCTTTTTGATCACAGCTCTTTTTATTCTTCCTGTTTTGGCAGAAGTCATATCAGGAACATCCTGTACCAGCCAAGAGAGTCGTCACGGGCTATTACTCCAAAATTTCAGTAACTGCTCACTAGTCAGACTTCATCATAGTATAATGTAATTATGGCAGCAGTGCTGTTACAATCCCTTTCATCTCAACAGGATGCTCTGCTCCTTCAGACACAGTTTAATTTGCTTTCTAGAGTGTGGCTTCAGACATCAGCTCTATGTTCAATAAAAATAAGTATATTTCAAATCGGGCCTTGCAGTTCATGTTCAGGCAAACCTTGATCTTTCTTCATATTGGCAACCGTATGTAACATGCACAGAAATCAGACTGAATTGAAAGCACTTAACAGGATTTGTCCTTTTAAAGAAAAGAGGCTTAAGCCCTATTTAGCTTAAATTTCTTCATACAACAGCTGTTTGGCAGTAAAGTGTTGTACTCACCACCTTGGAATAATTCCATTCTCTAAACTGGTTGTCTGACTTCGGAGCCAGCGCCGTTGGTAGCTGCTAGAAGATGAGGATGAAGAGCTTGGAGATGGAAAAGGCGTGACCAGAAGACTGCTCAGAGACGCTATTAAGAAAGAAACCCCACATATACTGAATTAGAAAGAGTGCTGATTAAATGTTTTTCTTTCTGTTCATACTCTAACTGGGAACAAATTCCCACAAATATTGCTCTTGCTTGCTGATCTTTTTCACATAACTCACTTGCAACAGGAGAGACAATTACTTTAAATAAATCTCGCTGCCTGAGCACATTCTTTTCTCAAAGTCAGAAATCTTCCCTACTAGAACATATTACAAGTCTTCTCATTAAAAGCATTCCGTCCTAAGAGCTGTTGCCCTCCCATTACAACGGACAGATCTCCTGGTCTCCTTTTTCCTATTCAGTGGAAAAACATCTTCTCTTCCCTTGCTTTAGTAAAGGCTCCAGACAGTTCTTTCTCCAAATTATAAATTGGTTGAGAACCCAGAAAATGATGGCTATAAACAAAGAATATCACTACAAATATTCTTGTGTTAAGGCTCGGGGCAAATGCAGAATGGAAACCGCTTAGCGGATTCAAAAAATTTTTGGATTTATGGGTTATATGGTGCCTATATTTCAGGTGAACCACTGCACCAAAGAATTGTAATTACGAAAGCAGGCAAACAAGACAGCAGATACCTGACCGAGCAATGCCGCTGTCTCTGTCCTCATTTTGTCCTCTGCTAGGCATATCAACAGGCGTGCTGTGTGCTAAAACAAACAGATCAGATCAATAGAAAATATTACATAACGCATCATACTATTTGTCAGCATTTAAAAAAGTGTTTAAGTTTAAAGGTCATAAAACAGCAAAGTTACATCCTGTACTGTTATTCCAAATAAGCAGTATGGTGTGAGCAGAGGTGGCAGCAAACAGTTCCCATACTGAGTGTCATGTTACTAGAGGAAGTCGGTTATTTGCCCCAATCTAAAAACATCTCTAAGAAGCTTAAGAACCTGAATACAGCCTACATCATAAAAAAAATCATATATGCTTTGAAAATGAAGGCTGGTGGTACCCCTACCTTGACTTTTTTTGTGTGTGCAAGACTGTCATTCTACACAGGTTAATATCATAATGAAATAGTCAAATACAAGGTCCATTAAGCTTCTGATTCACTCCCCAAGCAGAGATTTACTATCCACAAAGCCTCACAGAAAGAAACATTCAGCCTATGTTGTATTACATTGAAGTTAGTAGTGCAGAGTCACTCAAATTGTAGAGCATGCAAGATTTGCAAAGGCTGTGAAGAAACTGCATTGGTATTCCAGTCCACATTTTTGCAATTAACAGAACTAACTGGGCCTAAGATCTACCCACCTGCATGGGTCATCAGTATGCCTGTAAAAGGAGACTTTATGTAGTTTAAAGTTTTGAGAGTTAAAGAAATTGATATTGTTAAAGAAAAAAACCTTAAAGCCTCCCAGACTTAGCTCAAGAATTAATTTCGAATGTCTGCCATCAAATTAAAAAAAAAGCAGCAAGAGGTAAGAGAAGAAAAAGCTGTACACCAGCAAGACACCTGCACACTAGCAAGAAACCAGCTATAAGCCAGGAAACATAAGTTCTCTAAGAAACATAAGGGCTCATTTATTATTAAACACTACATAAAAATACCTTTAAAATTAAACACAGGAATTAGAAAAGAAATACAAACAAAAACCCATTAACTTAGCTATTTCTTTGGCAGAAAGGTTTTCAAGTATAAGTCAGATACATCCGTTGCCACTGTTTTAGCCCTTTCTGTTTCTAGAGAGGAATTATGTATGTCCTGCAAGGATCCAGAAGGAGCTGGATTTGTGTGTGCATATGGATGGGTCACACTGTGGCTGGCATTCCACACAAACCTGCAAAGAAAGAAGCACTGCGGATGAGCCGGAGGGGACCTCCTTCAGACACACCCTGCAGCAGTTTGCTGCTACACAGCTGTAACACACCTAGGAAACAAAAGCAATGTAGAGAAAATGCAATGCAAAAAAAAGTAAAAAAAAAAAAAGAAAGAAGGTGATGCATGGAGAAAAAAACCAAAACACACACACTGAACAAACAGATGACCTCATTGTCAGAAAGACATAGAACCTGGAAATATTTACCTAAATTACTTCCACTGCGACAGGTTCCCAAACCATTCTGATTCGAGCTCAGCTTTCCCAGACCAGGATCTTGGTTGATGTATTCAAAGCTATCTTGTAAGCTAAAAAAGGGGGAAAAGCCGGTGTTCCTTAAGAATACAATCAACAGGCATTGATATTAGCTTAAGAATTAGGCTCATTTTATGGAAAAAAGAAGGTTGAAGATTAACTTTACAATCAAACTCAAGGACCAGTAGGTATTCTGAATGTCACATTTGGGATTCATCTTATCCACGTTTGCCCATATTGGGACAAGGAAAAAGGAAACAGATGAAAAACAGCATCTCTTCTGTCATTGTTGAAGGAAACAGAAGTAGGGTACAAGGACACAAAGCTTTTTAACATATACCCCTTCTTCACCCTTCTGGCAGCAGGAAGAGACAGAGGCTTTGATAGTCCAAAGCACCTAACCTCTGAAGATTACTGCATGTCTCCTGGACAAATTAAGCAGCAGAAACTCTGAGAGATTTTAAACTTGGGTGGCCTGGCCAAGAGTATCTTCTCCACAGCTGCCATTTCTGATTTTCTACTAGACTATTCCACTCCGGCTAGGGCAACTTTAGAAGCAGTGACAAAAGGACTACAAAAGGAGAAAAGGAAAGACAACTGCATTGAACAGGAGAAAAAAAAAAAAAAAAAAAAGAAAGTTTCTTACTTATTGTTGCTTCCACTGAAGCTTCCTACCCTGGCTGAGAAGACTTTACTTATCATCAGCTGTGGGGGAGAGCTGAAAGGATAAACAGTCATTTCAGTGAGTCATCAGTTCCGAGCGCCTGACAGGAGAGTGCATCACAGAAAAGAACACTGACCGTATATAGTGAATTTTCAAGGTGGAGCCTTTGTAACTCATTGCCACTGAGCCAAACATCATTTCCCCAAGCATGTTGACATCAGAGGCTGGTCTGGTGTACTACACAGACAAGAAGATGGGAAGAGCAAAGTCAGTAAAAACTTGGCATAATACTTCAATTTAGTATAGTGCCATAGTGTTACATTTTGAATGGAGAATACAAGTAACTTCTGCTTTCCCAGGCAGACTAAGATCCTGTGTGGTTCTAACACAGTGAGGGCAAATAAAGTAAGTACAAGTGGAAGACGTACTCTGTTTTGCTCACCAAATGGGCATTGTTACCCTTGTTACAAGGGGACCTCCAAAGGCAAGAAAGAAGAAAAAAGATGTACTGCATTTCCAAAAGAAATAGCTGTGTCCAGCAACACTCCCATATAAGAGAGTATTTGATGAAACCTGTAGGTGTTCACAGGACTTAGAGTCTGTGGTCTGAATCCCCAAGCATTAAACTGTCTTCCTCATTCAAATGAGTAAATTCTCCTTCCCTGCCATTATAGAAAGCTTCTTGGAAACATATTTGTTTGGAAAATAATTTGTGAAGGCTGTGTTCCAAAATATAATCAGACCAATTTCTTATTTTGTTTCAGACTCATCTTCAATAGCAAATATGGAGAGAATTTTGTTAATTTTGAAGGAAATTGCTTACCTTCTAGTTAAATATATTTTTTCTGCCTTAATCTACACATGCTTCAAATTACATTTTTCTAGATGAAACGTTTATGCCTTTATTGAGAAACAACCAGAGTACCTAAAAAATAGTTCTCTTAAAAATTTCATGTTATAGTAAGACAGACTGAAGGGACTTTTAATATACCATGTTCAACAGCTTTTTCAGAACTGATACGAAGCACAGGTAGACATCTTTCAAAACAAGAACAGAGACTGGTATAGTGCTTTATGACCTTCACAAATAATAATGCTATTAAATATCTTCTGTAACTCTTTGAAAGACAAGACCAAGGTAGACCAAAAGGTTAAGATGTACCCACACATTCTTACTCTACAACACTTTAAAGATACAGTGGATATCTCAAGGTTAATGTTAACTGGTACTATACTGAAAGCATACCTAGTCATTCAATGCATATAAGTCAAGGCTTTTATATACAAACCTCTTTAGTAAAACAGATAAATACAAGCAAGTAATGAACATTACCTGATACTTCGGTATCTGTTCTTTGATATTTTGCATACAGCTTATCGAGGGGCTATGGGAAGAAATATTGTTGTTCCCATTGCTTGCTTGGCAGTTCTTGGCAGAAGTCTTTATAGAAGCATCCTCTGCCATTTTCTGTGTAAAAATAGAGTAGTATGATGAAAACAAAGCAAACATGAGAACTTCCATTTGTAAACATACCATGGCAAGTTTTTTCTTAAACTAAAGGTAAACAATGAAAAAGACACCCTTATTTGGTTCAAAAATATATGTATGTTTTAAGAGATTTTTTTAAAAGACCAGCATCAGAGAAAGTGCAGATCTACTCTCACATTTATTTTATCAGTCAAGTATATCACACATCAGTCAAAGTTTCATTGGCAGATCATTCCCAATTGTTATGAATTGCTCTGTGTAATGTTCACCAAAGTTTCTGTAAACAAAATCTCAGCTTATGGGTTGCTCACAAACCAATTTCTGTAATCATTTGCACAATTAATCACTCGAATTACATATAACTTTTGCTCTCCAACTGATTAACAGATTTCTTAAACAGAAGAACAACCAGCAAAAACAAGGAGTGAACAATGCATAATTTGGTAGAATTACTGGGTTATAAAAACTATTTGTTAAACCTGTAAAGGAGTTGTGTAACAAAAAAAAAACAAAAAACAAGCAAATAAATGCTTAAATCCAGATGACTGTTTAATTCAAAGTTTATTCTTAAGTCACTATGTTTTAACAAAATCTCAGAAAGATACTGATTATGTTAATGGTATTCATACATGTTTCATAAAACAAGCTGCATTGAATTCATTGGCATTTGCTTAATACAGTTTTGAACAAAACCTAATGAGTTTCTTGTTTTCTTTGACGGCTGCTTCCTGCTTCCCCCTTCCCCCGCCCCAATTTGAATGTCCATTAGATGTCAGTTAAAAAGGCCACATTATTTCAAAAATACTTCTAACATGCACTTGAATGGTTTATATGAAGGGAGCAAAACTGTAACCTTGCAGCAACTGAAACTGCTTAGAAAGTTTCTCTCACACTCAAACTTTTTATATATGTAAGAAATTAAAAATCCCTTAATGAACATATATTTAATGTGTATTAATGTAAACATTCATTCATCTGGTGCACATCAGAATGAAGTGTATTTTTTATAAGTCTCACTTTGTACCAGCATGGTTTACCACATTGGGAACGTGCATTGAGAGAGATCAACTAATTTTTTTTTTTTTAAAATGTCAACAGGGTACATGTAGATAGATTACAGAAAGGACAAGCAAGCAGGCAAAAAGAAATAGTAATAACGTAGATGCTAGTAAAGAGCAGTCATAGCCATATTTTGCACTCAGCAAGACAAGAAAAGAACAATAACAGGAAATTAAATGGAAATAAAAGTAGAATCCAGTATTCCACAAGACTGATTTTCAAGATGAACACTTTGAATACTACAGTGCAATAACTGTAGTAAGTTTCAGAATACTCAAGTCACAAGGTCAAGATAATGAAATAGGCAAAAGGAAAGATGCAGAAGAAAAAGACCAGCAAGCCAAGAAAAGTAGAGCAGACGATCTGTCATTTTTTGAAAAGTTGAGTTTAAACTACAGTGATAGTAGATCTCCTTTACCAATTTACAAATAAACCTACTAGCATGTTGAAAAAAAGTAATCCCAGACTTCTGTATTTTATCCTATATTTGCACTCCTTTTGTGCAGTTTTACCTGGCATAGTATTTATGTGCTATTGCTTATCTAATCCCAATGTGACTGTCATTAACACTTTAGAAATGCACCGGTGTCTGTAGTCACGTGTTGAATGAGCTATTGACAAAAAGTGCCTACTAAAAGTGGTCTGATATATGCCATCTGCAGAAAGAATTGGAGATTAGATTAAGAACACTGAAAAGAAATGCAGTATAGTGAGCAAACATAGGGTTAAATGGAATACAGACCTGCTAGTTCCCCCAGGTAAGTTTATTATATACTTTAGAGATAAACAACGCATTTGAATATTCAGTGTGAGTAAGCTTGACTGTATTTCAGGAAAAGGGGTAAGTGCACAGTATATACACACACTCTTTATTGCCTTTAGTTTAAACACGACTGAGCTTGAGAGTAATTTTGCCTTAACTTTAAATGAATCAAGTTTTAGGTTCGCTATTTGATAACATACCAAACAACCAACAAAACATTCAAGATCACTTTTAACATCTGTGTGTTTGCCATGCCACTCAAAGTGCTTTGGCTGTTTTAAAACTAGTCTAGTTACCTAGACTAGTGACTGGCTAGAAAACAGATTATAGCTGGTATTGTGTGTTACGAGGGAGGTTATAACCTGTTTTATTTAAGTCTTGCATAGAGTTACTGATAGAACATTTTGTAGTTAACGTTTAAAGTGTTCAAGCAAGTGGAATAATTTGAGTATTTAAATGAAGCCAGAAATATATTTTTCTCACATAATGTGTGTTTTTAATCAACTTTAATATACAAAGTAATGACCTCGATGGGGGGTGGGAGGAGGAGGAGAAAAGGGAGAGCAAGATCAACAGACCAGTCTGACCCATTTACCCTCTTAAGCAGATGATCAGTCATCAGCTGATGATGCTCAGTCTTACTGATTTGGCACAGTGGCATATTTGCAGTGTGACTGAAGTAAGTACTGCTGTTTTTTAAGCATCTTCATAAGCAATTTCTACAAGTCACAACTATTCATATATAGCTAGTGACTCTGCAATAAACCATGCTAGTCTGACAGGCTGAAGCTGCTGGTTGTAACAGACTTCAAAACAAACAAAAAAATTGAAATAATTTAATGTAGAAGAGAAACACGGAGCCAGTAGAGGAAAAAACCCAACACAAACAAAAAACAAAACTACCACAAAACATAAAATACTACTGTTTTATTTGTCTTAAAATCACTTAAGCTTGCTTGAAGTATTACTTCACAATTTCTGTGCCTGGAAAACAGCAGAAAGAATTTGCATCTTGACAGCATCTACTCTTGCTTCTATGTGTGTCCTAAAAACTTATGTGGCCATATATTGCCATGTGTCAGTCTTACACGCTACAGCACGGTTAGCTTAAGCGGAGTTGTTTTAATTCACATAAAGCCAACAACTTTACTAATCCAAACAAAGGAAGACAAGCACATTTAGAGACATGCTAGACATCACTGGAAGAATGGGACTGCACAACCAGGGCTAACAACAAAAAGCAATCCCAGTCAACATTAAAAAGGCTGAGGAAATACTCAGTTTAGTTTAAAGAGGTATAGATTGCTTTGTTTGAAAGCAAATCAGGTTCAAGTTCTTAAGTTTCAATACCATATTTATACTATAAATACCAAATACTAGATATGAGTTCATAGCCTTTTTGGAATCTAACACACTCCTGTTGCAGCTATCACAGAATTGAGGTCAAATAAAAGATCACAAGGAAGATTAAGAAGTTGACGCTGTCATATTAGAATTTCTGCTTTTGGGAAGGGAAACAAAAGAGCAGTAGGACAAAAGCAAAATTAGCATTTCATACCTGAACCACAGCTTCATCAATTTTGCGGACTGCTTTGGAATCAAATAAGACCTGTCTGCCTCTCCTCTCACAGTCTTGGTAAACTATCAGGCGGATTTCGTTCAAGTCAAACTCTGAAGAGGACCAGCTGCAGATTATGAACACAAGATGTTAAAATACTGTGCTTACTACTTTGCAGGCTTATTTAAGTGAAGAAATGGGTATTCGGCAAATACATCTTTTACTCAGCATTTACAAGAATCAGGCTGTAACCACAGAACTCTGACCAAAAACGAACTGAAAGGAGGATCTAAGCATGGTGTCACTCATACACAGGCAGGTACAGCCAGACCAATTTTCATCCAATCTTTCTTCAAAATTTTCCAGAAAGGGAACACAAAACTTTGTCTCAGCAATCTGCTCCAGGGCTTAACTACCCTTAAATTTACTCCCTTCCCCATACACAGTCTGGATCATCCTTATTGCAAGGTAGGTGTATTATTTTGTGCAATTCTCTCAGTGGCAATAAAGAACAATGGATTACCATCCTCTTTACTGCAGCCTTTCACAAGATCAAGGCTTACACCCACCCTCATTCTCCTCTCCTCTAAATGACACAAACCCAATTCCTTTTGACCTATTCCTGTCAATATAAGTTATGATTTTTCCCAAGTTTAATTCTTATAACTGAAAGGCAAGCTTTATGTTGTTCCATTATTTTTCCCCTTTCTTTTCTGAGATGTTTCAGGGTTTACAGAGCAATCATAGATTACCGAGACTTGATCTCCGACTACGATGAAACTCATTTAGTAGATGAAACCAAGATACCACTGAGATTCAACCTGAAGCAAAACAACTCTCTCAAGCCAGAATCTGCCCGTTCCTCAGAGATACGCCATGGCACACAACTTGCCTCTTTGCACTACCACAGGAGGTTGAGGAGCACAACTGATCATGGCTGCGATGGCAAGAGACTTTATTTCCTAATTCCAAAGGGAGTCGGTCTGCATGTCAGAGCATTGAGGTTTGCTTGTCCTCAGGTTCAGCTACAGAAAACGGTTTTCATGTTATGTAGCTGACGAGCTGGAACTAATGGAAAAAACCTACTACTGCATAAAGCAGTGCCACACAGCACTGGTGCTCAGTCATATTGCCTCATCCCTGACCTGAATGGACTGCATCTAGGGGGCAAGAGTACAACTGTTGGTTTAACAAATTGCATAACAGGCTTCAGTCAAGGCCACACTGATCTCCCACCTAAAAAGATGTTTCATTTAGGAATTTTCCCAAACTATGCCCTGCAGAGAAGGGAAATGGAGAATTGAGGGAAGAGAACAAAATCTCTGTACAGCTGAAATACAAGAATTTCTGAAGTTATTTCTTTTATTCCATGCTCTGTTAACAGCCATAAATCAATAGTGAGGTAAACACCATCAACTCCTGCTAGAGTCAGTAAGGTAACCATGGGCAACTGCTTTCGGAGCACACTCAGAGACTTGCAAATTTTAAATAATCATAAGTAAAGCCAGCTTCATTTCTTCTTTGTGCTTCATCTTGCATTTCAGACATCAACTCCCCTTTCTATATATCTAGAAAGAAAAATAAGCCTAAATAGGCACCTTTTTCAAAGCTGAAAGGTCTCATCAATCTGGAAGGTTTTATTCTATTTTTAAATACCTTGGGACAGAATAAGCCAGGCACCTGTGTCCATTGTAAGGCAATCTTATACAAATATATTCTATGTACATAATATACAAGGGTCCAGTACACATCAAAGCCAGATCATGGAACGACGCTAAAGGCTGTTTTGCCATCAAACAATGGGGAAACTTTTGTTTGTAACATGTTGCCTCCAAAATGCTAGGAGTGCCAGGCAGATTTCTTTTCAAGTCTTCCCTTTCAAAGACAGTCACAGCATTCAGTCAACCTGCATGAGATCAGACCTGATACCATTGTTGATAGTTGCCCAACAAAGATCCTACACACCTCACATATACAGAGAACTGCAACCACACCATCTGTTTTAAAAGTCTGTTACAAGTTTCTCAGCCCACTGCCTGTGCAATGCTATTACAAAATCCAGTTACACAGAACGCAAGAGAAGTCACAGCCATCAATAGACTTCATTTTAGTCTGCCGCATGGATCTGATGCTCTTTAGCACCAGATACACCGATACCTCTTCAGTTATACAGCCACCTATTTACTTACAGACTTTCTGCAACAGACAATATCTGAAGTAACTATGCTGCTTTCTTAACAAGGCCACAGGTCTTCCCTCCTTTTAATGACAAAGAAAAGGTACATCTCTATGGCTGTAATTTGAGTTGTATGCACGATCAAAACCTTGCTTATCTCCAGGACTGGCACAGCGGGGTCCATAGTTCAGGCCACAGGACTGCAAGTCTAAACGGAGAAAGATTCATTTCAGACCCGAATTGAGCCAATCCAGCCCTGTATCTGTCTACCATTGCTAAAAGCATGCTCAATACTTGTGTTGCATGAATTTAGGTTTCTTTATGAGCAGGTGAACTCCCACATTCTGCACTAAATCAAACTTCTTGTGTTTGTGCAGTGCCAACTTCTGTGTAAGATGTGAACTGGGTTTTATAACAAATGCTGAAGTAAAAGCCAATTTCACAGCCTGCTGAGGTGCCTTTTCCACACAGCATGCTAGAATTAAAGATTGCTGCAGTCTTTCAAAACTTCAAACAGATTCTAGCACCAGACAGGAACAAGCTAAGAAGTTACATAAAATCTATCATAGAGAGCCTTATGTGACTAATAGACCAAATCCAGGGAAGTAACTGCAGATAATTCTTCTTATAGTACCAAGCAAATATCAAATGTATGTTTTAATAAAGTCTTTGCTTTCCGGCTTTGAGTTACCCAGAACACAGATGCAGTTCCTGCAGCAGCCCTACCCATCACAGAAGAAATCCATCCTACTAAAACCTCATTTGGTAAGAGCAAGCATATCTATAGGCAAGTTATACAGGCATATATAATCCCAAAGTCTCATTACTTCCACATGGAATCTAGCACCAGGCCCAAGACTAGTCAGATGACCAGGATGTTCCCCCCCCCGCCCAATCACAAAAGCTGATGAGCAGATAGCTTCCAGTACTTCCACCCTCTATTGTTTAAGCCAGCTTATTATAGCCCCCCAAAACAGGGACAGCAGGAGTATTCGATCAACTCCTAAAAGCAGAGTGTTGAAGAACACAGATAATACACAAACTCAGTGGTCAGCTCCATTTTCACATGCGTAAAACCCAAACCTTACTTAGCTCTGTGTCAGTTTCTTGCTTATTTAGCAATGCTGAAAGGCACCTGCTTATTTGTTTCTTCTTCACATACGGATTTTGAAAGAGAGATAAGATTCTCTTACACTAAATATCAGTTAATGAAAAAAAAATACTACAAACTGTCACACATATTCCTTTAGATGTTAGAAAGTAATAGCTTAAAGGTTTGACTAAGAAGAAAAAACCTTTCACTCTTCCATCAGTTATTTCTAAAAATAAGACCAAAATATCTGAAATAGGCAACAAATATTTTAGCCTGTCTTTTCATAAGGAAAAAAGGTTCCTTTGCTCACAGGCAACCTATAGGCATGCAGGTTCACCTTGCCCAATTTTTTCTTAATTCACTAATCAATTTCAACCACCAAGTTTGACCAAGGGATATCTATTTCTATCCTCCAAAAATAAATAGTGAAGGAGGTAACAGACTCTTTCCCCTCCTCCTCCAAGGCCACAATATGAACTAATGTTAACTTCAAGGCAACAAAAAAAATACGATGCATTTGTCGGAGATCGGTAGAGGAGATTCTAAAGAGGAAGGAGGAGATTATAAAAGTGTTATGTTAAAAGCTTGCACCACAATTTGAACATTATTCTGTAACAAAATTATTAATTCTTCCACTTTTGGACTAGAAAGTAAACCTTGAACATACTTACAAAAAGCCCCTTATTTTCCAGTTGCACCATATTACGAGATTCCAACAGTCTACTCCATGTCCAGTTATAACAAATACCAATATTTATTCTTATCAGAAGTGCTCTTTCAGCTCTTCACCACCACTCCTGACACTCTCTTAATTCATGTCTCAAGACTCAGTTGTTTTCCTTATACTCATTTCATAAAATCTAAACTGGCACACTGTTGATTGTTGCCTTTTCCCTGTTTCTGTCTAAGCCAGTGTACCCAACCATACATAAGTACTGCAGAAAGCTATGTGAGAGTTATATAATATCAGTCGTTTTGCACATGTACCTACTGCTGAAAGCGTTACTTCTGATAACTAAACTCCGTAATCCCCAGGGTAAGCTTCATATTTCTAACTTTAGCAAGAATAAGTGTGCTACAATCACTGCTTTTGGATAACAACTGTTGCTTCTTTCAGTCAGCTTAAAAAAAGCCTTCAAAAGTAAGTTTCACTAAACACTAACTGAAACATCATTTGCTTTAGCCCTGTTTATATAAATTTTCTCATTCTGCTGACACAAGAACAAACTCACATGGTCAATTCCTGTTTAAGAACTACTTAATAAATAGAATGATAAAAGATCTGTGCTGAAGGAATACATATCGCTAAGACTTATAAAATAAATGTTACAAATGAAATGAATAAAACTATAGTAGAGTGGGGTTTTTTAGCCACCTGAGTGTCAACATACTGCAAAATGACAAAACAGGCTTCTGATAACATTACACCCTAGAAAGGTAAGGAAGTGAAAAGACTGACAGCTAACTGAAATGTTTCACTTCGTCTTAAAAACAATACATTATGTCATGTCCTGCATATTCTTAAAATTTAACTGAATTATATTAATATGAGCTTGTGCAGACACTCATATTTCAAGTTAAATGTGGCTATTTTGACCAAACATAATATTTTCTTATTTGACCACAAAAATAAGAGCCCCACATATCCTTTCTCCTCTTTTCATAACTACGTGACCCCTCCTATTACTCTTGTCTGCTCTGGTAATTGCTGGACCCTTCTGTAAGCTAACCAAATTCTCCACAGCAGCACAAGTCTGTCCCAGCACATGAAAGCTGATCAGAAACGGAGCTGGAAAAAGGAAGCAAGAAGCAGAAGGCAGTGGAACCTCCACCTCTTGGTGGCAGCATGAGTTACACTGACTTGATCCATCCTGTACATTTAGGAAAGGGCACAAAGAAAGCGTTCCCTATACATTCCAAATAAGTATTGAGGCTGTTAGAATGTTAATTGAGTTTTCTTGCTCCCGAGCCAGTTTTCTGCCTGCCTAGTTAGCTGAACTGACTCCCTAAGGGGAACCAGTTCCAAAAGGATTGGAAAGGCCAAGGCCAGCACAAAGGGAAAAAGGACAAGAGCAATATGCCAGAAAGCAAAGGAAGAATAGGCAATATGATTACTCCCTTCATCAGCAGTCTGTTTGAAGAGCTCAGATTATCTAGCCTCACCTTCAGAGTGGATCCTTCCTGCATGTGGAAGATGCTAGAACTAATAAACATCATCTTCAAGTCAAAATAAATAAAATCAAGCTGTCTACGTTCATACAACAGGAAAACCAGGTCTACTAAAGACACTAAAACACCACAGATATTTTTTTTTTTTTTTTTTTGAGAGAGAGAGAATGCCACAAGTTTGGAACAGCTTGCAGATATCCTGGCAAGTTTTCTCCCCAGATTCCATATTAAGCTTGTTTTCTTTATTTTCTCTTGAATGGGCATATAAGCTACTTTTCTTTGGCTTGTTCAACATTTCTGCCATCACAGATAAGAGACATGGAGACAAGGAGATCTCTCTTACTTAGGAGAAAGCAGACTCATTTGTTTCTGGAAAAAAGTCACAAAAAATTTGCCCCATTCTGCCTTGAATCAGTATTTTCAGTTAATATAGATCTCCAAACCCTGATCTTTACAAAGAAAGCTTTTGGTTCACCTTCATAATAATCAGCATGCATGCATGCAATAACTGAAGAGTGACTTATTCATTTACATTCAAAAACTACTTCAGCTGACCTTAAAACTTTTTTGAAAGTGACTAACCACTCAGTACTTCAGTGTAACATCTCTAGGCTAGAGAAATAAAGAGGTTGAAACACACCTATACAGCTATCTATATTTTTCTGCTTCTTAGATCAGCAATCCTGAATGTAGAATATTTGTTATAACGCCCTTGGGTGTTAGAATTTGGAAAAAGCTGCCCTGAACCATATTTTCAACACAGTTACACAGCAGTAGAGACTCAGACATTTGAGACATGCTGGCACACATCTGAAAAAGACACCACAAAAGTCAAAGAAACAATATTCATAGTCCAGATTACTTTGATGTAATGTTTGATCTAGAAGTCATTTACAAGTAAAGCAGAGGGTTCCCCCCTCTGCATTCCTCCTCCACAGCATTCTCTCCTGTCTGCTCTGCACATTGATACTACTTGACCCACTAACACAGGAGGTGGCAAAAAAAATAAGAGGGGAACTAATTAGAAAACTAGAAAGAGAAGGCAAGATTATTTAACCTTAACTGAAAAGAAAAGTAATTATCCTTCATGCCTCAGTTTGCATATACATAAATCTTACACATCAGAGTCAAGATTGTAGATTCAGTTTCAAACAACAGGGAAGACTTTCTGGAGTATCAGTTACCATCACCAGCAAAAATAAGCTTCTAACAGAATTTTTCCAATTATTTACAAAACAGCCTTTCAGGCACATGATTACAAGTCTAATATCTACTTAAAAAGTCCATTATTTGTCAAAAATCATATATATTAAAAAAGTTTCATGCATACCTGTTTTGCAGCAGTCTAGTCACTTTGCTCACACAGCTGACACTTTGGTCTCTCAAAGGTTTTCTAATCCTTTCATCCAATTTGGTACAAGAGAGATTATTTCCAAGTGGCACATCGTTGCTGTTTCTTGCTCTTTCAATTTGTCCCCCTGTGCCATTTGTAGCTTTTGGTGTACCCCCACACATTTTCTTTTGCTACAAATCCTCTTGTAAAGCTCCCTCAAAGAAACTAAATACCCGCTGAAGAGATATAGACTCAAGTGGATTTCTTTACTATAGATCAACCATTAACGATGGCAATTTACCATCAGCTTTCTTCCCTAGACAGGAATATGGTCTGCTGAATTTCCTGTTAGGGGAAAAAAAGGCAAAGAGATCTTCATATATTCTATAAGCCATTAATGCAGAAAGAAGGCTGTAGCTAATGTACTGCTGCAATTATTCCAGACAGAGGAGTAGACATGACTTTCAAGTTTCAGAAGCCATCGTAGACTTGCTCTTGCTGCTGTTAGGAGTTTTTCCTACCAAGCCTGGCACAAAGCTGTAGCAGATACAACAGCTAATATTGACTTTAACTATGTTTGTTTCCTGGTATGTGATTAGGTAGCTGGCAATTATGTAGTCACAAGACTGAACCATATGGCCTCTTAAAAAAAAAAAAAGCATAGTTGCTTTTGCAGTGACTCGCCCTTAGTTGCAAGGTTGTTCTAACACTGGCTACAACACCCTGTTAATGGCTCTCATGTGAGCAAGTGTCATCTGACAACCCCTAGCAACCTCATATAGCTTAGGAGCAAATAAGAATCTGTCATCATTGCCATATGGTTATCACTTTAAAAAAAAAAAGACCAACACCAAGAAACACACTAGATATTCTGCACTGTAATGCTTTTACTTTGAAGGACAAGCAGTAGTTACGCTTGGCCAAGAATCTGAAACCACTATTTCGAAAAGCTTTTTAAAAAAAGCAGAAGGGGAAACAACCAAAAAAAGTTTGTCACAGAACATCAAGTTGGTTGATGAGAATTTATAGTCATGTGCCTATCAAAACAATTTAAGGGCAATACTAATGACAGAAATATCTAATAAAATACTTCTGACCAAGAACATTTAAGTTTTTAAAGAGAACAAAGGAACCTGTCAGTTTTGTTCAGGCTCAGGTAATTCCACTGCAGAGGAGTCCTTTTCCCCATGCCTGCTTTAAAAAGAAGTTACCCATACATATCTGCTTATGTCTGTCATGTCTTACACAGCTTTCTTTCCCCCATCAGTACAATTTTAGACATTTTATAAGATGACAGCCGTAGTGCTATTTCCCCTCCAGACTGAAAAGGGAAAATAACTTCACTAATGGTCACCCAGAAATACAGCAGTAGAGTCAGAAAACACAGTAAGATTTCAAAACCTGTTGCTACATGCTACCAGCTAAATAGCACAGCACCCTTCTTAAAAGGATTTTGTAATCTCAGTAAACCCCAACCTCTAAACACTGGACAAAAGTCAAGCAGAAAACTAGAGCAAGGTCAGGTGGAACAACTTGCTCAGTTGCAGAGAGAAGCCTATAGCAACAAAAAGCAGCTCAGTTTCAATTCCCAGAGTAGTGACAAGTACTAGATCACAATCACTCCTCCTCCCAAGTAAGGGAAACAAGTGAAAAGCTTTGGCCTGTTCTCAAGTTATCCAAACCATCTAGGAGAGGGTGACTCCTCGCCCTCACCTCATTGAGGAGGACTACTTCAAACAGCAGGGTTCCTAGTCACCTTTGAAGTGCAAATGAAACAAGCAACTGATGGCCAGGTTCCTACACTTCGACTAAGATCAGCAATTGACAGCCCTCGCTTCTGTTCTATCTTTTCCCCAAACAAAAACAAAATTCTGAAACCTTCAGTGAATGACCACAATACTGGATTCACCTCAGAGACCAGAACTAGAATCTCCTGTAAGCTCACTAAATAGACGTGCTTCACGACACTACCTCATCTGTAGATGAGGTCATCTGTGGAGTACTATAAACCCCAACATACTTGGGGAATTACCACCAAAACCCCACAGAACAGGGGGGGGGGGGGGGGGGGGGAAGGCACATATGGACACCCCACACCCCACCCTTGAGTCCAAGGAGTGGATAATATAGAAGAAGCAGCAAATGTCCTGCTCTCCAGATACAATCCCCTGGGAAGCAGAGTTTAATGATTCTTTTTCTAGGCTGTGTGACAGCATGTCACCTGCTCTGTTTGTAGGTCACTTCCTGTCCTTCATCTCCCCTGCGAGACAACTGCCTAAATGATTTCAACTCAAGGTAATACTTTAGCAAGAAAATTTGGGGTGGGGGAAAGAGGGGATATATATGATGGAGTTATCTAATTAAGAATAATTTTCTGTACAAGTTACAGCTACCCACTAGAACTTAAGCACTGTTTTCAAAGCTAACAGAATATTTGCAGAGCCCACCCCGTAAGGTTTTATTTCCTAAACAGCTTTTACAAGCAGGCTAGAGACACTTAGGAAAACAGAAAGTTTGAATCATACCTGCTGTTTCAATAAACATTTGTTTTTGCAAAACATACACTTAGCAAAATTGATACACAAAAAAATGCCTATGACCCAGACATTCAGGATGAATGCCAAAACACATGTTTAAAGGTGAAGTGGAATCTATTTTGGACTGCTTAATGATGAATTTCCCTGAATAGCTTATATAGAAGATGCAGGTTCCCTTCCTCCTTCCCAATTTGAAGTATTTACCCTGTGTTGCTGCTCCTCTTTTTAAAACCTTGGATATGGAAGAGTTGTGCTGATGCCATACCACATTCTTTTTCCACAGTGATTTAAAGTACTCCTAATATGGTAAAGCACTATTAACCTCAGATGAACCACCTTGTTCAAGCATGATACATAGTTACTAGTTTCACACAAGTTAGGCGGGATACATTGCAGATTAGTCATGCAACAAGTGAAGGAACATGTTATTTGCAGCACTTCTCTCAGTTCAGATTTTCCTGTAGAAAGCTATGTAGTGGAGAAAAATAAAGTTCTGTATATCAGATCACTGTACAAAAAGGTTACTTTTTTTAAAACAAAGATAATTCTATGTTACTGCAAAACAACACTGGATATATTTGTTCACTGAGAAGTTAGAATTCCACAGATTCCCTGCTTAGGGAAGGAGAATATACTGTATTTTTACAAGGCTGGAAGCATTTTTCACTATCTTTGTTGCTAGAAAGCAACACCATCACTCGCATGCACAAAAAAAGTGACCACAAAACCCACACGCACCTGACAAAGGCTAACAACCAGATCCATCCAAGTTAAAGTCACCATAAATTGCACACATCAGCTTTCCACAAACATCAGGAACAGCCTACTAAACCAGTGTTTCACAACTCAGCCAACTTTCATAAGTTTGGATACACTGTTCATTGGCTTATCTACAAGTCAGAAGTTTGGGAGCGAGGCTTCATACAGTGTCCCAGTGATAATGTAAAAAAAACCCAACCAACCAAAAAACAACAACAAACCCCACACCTAACCAAACAAAAAAGCCAACAATGATGTGTTTGAAGTACTACCATAAAAAGCACAGAGAAGGCTCTCAGTTGCTAGCCCCAGAAATAGAATTCCTCATTAGCAAAGAGAAGAGCTCAAGAGAAGAGCTCAAGACTTGCCATTGCATGAAAAAAAATGCACATATTTGTGCTTTACCCTTCAGAAAAGCTTGTTTATCTTTGTTAAACTAGGAGTTTAAACAAAGAAAGGTAAAGTATGCAATAAGGTCAGCACCCTAGATCCATCACCTAACCTAGTCCTTTCCTCCATACAGAAAGCCTTGCATGATCTTAATCAACTTTCTCCCTTCCACCCCATTCTCTCCCCAAGCCCCCCCCAGCTTCTAACAGCTAGGAAACCTCAGTTGATTTAAATTAAGTCAAGTATTTTGCAGAAGTTGTTTCATAGTAATAATCTTTATCACTTCAAAGAACTGAAGGTTTACTTGTTCATTTAACACTCTTTAGGGTTTGGGGTGTGGGTTTTTTTTTTTCCTGTTTATCTTTTTAAAGGCACCTCCAGTAACCAACTTCCAGCTTTCGCTGGAGCCAAACAGGTTGAGCCAAACAGCAGCAGCTGGCTGGGAGCAAGTGGTGCTGGGATCCAGAGCCTCTGTCGAGGGCCGGGGCACGGGCCACGGGCCACCCGGCCGGCCGGGCCACCCCACCTCCTCCGGCACGCAGCGCCGGCTCTCGGCTAACGCATCATTCCCATGTCACTTGTTCCAGCGGCGCCATGTGACTGGGCCAGCATCCAGGAACACAGCTACTAAATACAGACACTGCCAAGGCACGTCCGAGAACTGCCTCTGCCAGAAAATGAGATGAATAGAAATCCCTTATCCTACCAGCTTTACTGCCTCTGCCTTTCCCCACCTTCTCTTGAACAGAAGGCAGAACTACACATCACACATCTGAAGGAGAACTTTGAGCAATAATACGAGGCAGAATCTGGTACTTAAAACACTGTACCAGCTCTTGTTGTATTTCCACACTGTATGAAAGTACTGACAGATCTCAGACCTTAATATCTCCTGCGTAAATGAGCAGACTAGCACAGGCATCACCACCACACCTTAGGGATGGTATCCTGAGGCATGGGTTTGGTTCCCTGCTCTTTCCTGTTCCTTCTCCCTCTTCTCTAAAGCCCTATTTTTTTATTTTTATTTAATAAGAAAAAGTCTGTATGCAGCTTTCAAGCCTGTTCAAAGGCATAGTTTTAAACTATAAAAATAAAAAACATGTCAAAGAAACAATATTATTTATTAGAAATTAATGCCAACTGATACAGAGATACACACAATGTTTGATGTTCAACATCCCCCCCAATTCTTTTCTAGTTAACTGAAAAATACTCCTTTTGCTAAAACACACACAAACACCATCGCTCAAAGTACCTAAACACACCTGCATACAAGCAGAAACAACTTCTTTACAAATTTCCTCCAGTCCTGCAATGAGAAGGCTACATTCACAAGAGGACTTTGTAAACCTCAGAGGACGTGGCATTCTCTCTCAAACTTCTCAGCCAAGTAAGTCTAGGGTACTCTCTCCAGGGGTGTGCAAAGCAGTGCAAATCCCCTCCTCATCCTTGTTCTGAACACACACTCCCACCGCACAAGAGAACGCTCTCAAGCA